TTTTTTTTTCTTTTTTTTTTAGGGGAGGGGGAGGGGGACAAGAAGCCATAATGTTTTTTTTTTTTTTGATGGACTGTACCAGCCAAAATGGCTTCAGTGATGGAATACAGTGTTAACGAGTGAATCCGCAAACCCATACGGTCACGCAACAAGACAAACAGAAAAAAAAAAGACACAATAATTGTCGCACTGGAAATTATTAATAACTGGATTAGAAATGAGGTTCAGAAGGAAAAAAAAAAACAATATCACAGCAATACGCGGAACTACTAAAATCACTGCGGGTTCAGCGCCGTCACAAAAGTAGCACTGTTATCGTGCTGAAGGTCAAGAGTTTGGCTCTACCAACAGGAAAATCAGTCAGTCCCTCTACCATTCATTCATTCATTTCGATGGTAAATTGGTACTGGTGTAAACTTTAAAGTCCGAAACACCATCAGTTTGCTTGTAAGTAACCCTCGAAGGAGGGAGCCATCAACACCCTTGCCTGCAAGTGATTGCAATAGAAACAAAGGGTTACTTCCGAGTATTTTGGCTCAGTGAAGAATGTATGCGGAAGGGATTCCTTTGTCTTTTGTTCCAAATCATACAGATCCGGGAGGAGTTTACTGGGTTAGTGCACAACATAAAATTCAGGAATTTTCAGAAACGGAAAACAGAATTTTTTTTTTCAAAACAAATACCAAAACCGCTTTGGTAAACAGTGTTAGTATCCCGAAAATACATGCGTTGCAAACTTTGGAAAATTACAGTATGATGCCCCTAACTCCTGTAAAATATATGGCCAAATTTTTTAAAATTTCAAAATAAATGCCCTGAAATTCTGAAAATTACGCATTTATCGATAAATTCCGTTTCTGCCTACAGGCACAGCTCTGTCTGTGTTTACAGCTAAGAGATGAAACGTAGACTACTTTTTCAGATGTTCATTCAGGATATGATCTGCAACTGCTATGCCTTTCATCCTAATATCTAATGCTCCTCACTTCAATATGTTGTCAAAGTTTCTTTTTTTGAACTTTTAAAGTTTGCTGTCCTAAAGTTCTGTAAAATCCGGCATAAGGCAATATAATTCCTTAAAAGAAAAAAAACATCTTCAGAGACCTAAAAAAAAATTAGTTTTATATAACAAAAAAAAACATGTGTGAAGAATACATACTGCAGCTACTAATATCGATCGACGTTCACAGAGCTTTTTGCGATCCTTCTTTCCACAACGAATTCCCGCAACGAATAAAACGGTCGGCCGATGATTAGTATATGTTGCTGCTGATGGCCAAAAAACAATTAAAAACAAAAAACAACAAAAACTAATATTTCATAAATCATCATGCGTGTGAAAATTAAACTGCGCCGACCGGGGTGCCCGGCCAACAGCATGCATCAACTGGGGCACATAGGGCCGTAGTAGCCAGTAGAAATAACCAACAAAAATGCCGGTTAGCGCTGTTACGGTAATCACGGCACGTATGGTACGCGCACGGCATGGCTTTTGATAATCATCAGCACCAGCACGGCAAGCACTCTCACCATCGATATAGTTTCGAGCAATAAATTTCAGGATTTCATCCAGGATAATGACCGGGATCGAGATTTTCAGCACCGCGAACCATTCGGTCAACGTGAGTGGTGTAATCTGGAAGATTGTTGCCAAAATTTCCACATACAGAATGACAAAATGCAACGACATGGACAGTGCTATTGCCGATGTTAGCCACATATTCGTCCACGGTGGCATCACCAAAAGCGATTGATTTTCCGATAAACTGAAAATAGTGCAAATCAAGTATGCCTCTGTTTTTAATCACCAACAAAAACCATTTAGGTAACAAAATTGTAAGCAAAAATTTATAAAATTAGTGAGTGAACTAAGCAAAACAACAACTTTGCCAATGCTCTAACACCTAATTTTAGTATCGGGAACTTTCTGAAGGGTTCTAGAAACGCTTTCGATTATTTATAAATTTCCTGAGAAATAATAAGATCGGGATACTGCATCAAAATTTTTCCACGTGTTTTATCATCAGACCTACACAGAACAATAGGACCACTAAATTAATCGGTTGAATACCTATAAGTTTTGTCCACCTCATCTGTTACTATCTCAGCGGTTTTACACCCTCTCGAACTCTCTCTTCAAGGTTCTTTGCTCACAGTGCAGTCTGCGTTTCACCCCTTAGCAATTAACAAACGGTGCACGTTTGGGTAGGAATGGGAATCATCAATACATCCTTCTTCTACCTCCTGTAAATAAAGTTTGCATGTGACTCAGTTTTGACGAGATCAAATTAGGCAGGAGATTTTTTTTTTCACTTCTCTGCAATAACGAATGCTCGAAAATTTTACAAAAATCCTTTTTTATTACCGTTAATTTCTATTTCTCTTAACAACATCCAGTGATATCTTAGTGGAGGGAAATAGTACTACTCCGGGAGTTCGTTATGTGACAGTTCCATCAGCATCAGATCTCCAACGCAGAAATACCCAAAGCTGCATCATAGGAGAAGACTAAGCCACTAAAAGTGAAGCATAAAAATATCGTCTAACTTACATATCCCTAACTTTACCGTCCGGTTTTTTTCGATATCCTAATCTAAAGTGTTGCAAAAAAACAATAAAATTGGCCAACGCACGGGCTGCCGTGCGAAGGTGCGTTTTT